GTGGGGGGGGGTGTGTGTGTGTGTGAATGGAGATGTAAGGACATATCTTTACACTTATCTTTGAAATCCTAAACAGCTAAATCCAGAGAGTTTTTTCTTCAGCTGTAGGAATCATTCAATTGCTGACAGATTTGGTAAGTATTTCCTGCCCTTCTGTGGGGGTTTGTGTCCTGTCTTCCAAAAATCACTGGGGATGGGGGTCTTCATCCATCAAGTTTCAATCAATTTAAAGCTCAGTGTTCTTGCTTAACCTAGCCAACTAGCCTCCCTCTCCAGGCAAAGGAAAACCCTACAGAGGGAGTTTCATATTATCTAGCTTTGACACTTTGACATCTCCTCAGGATGGATGATGCACTGGACATCTTTCTTTATTACCTATAGATGGAGCTCAGAGGGTTTCCTTACAGTATGTACTTAGATGGCTGCAGTCAGCTGAGATGAATCCTTACTAGCCTCTTACTAGTGGCAACTTACTTGGTACATTGCTCTGCATCAAGTTTTGCTAACTGAGAAGGGTTGCACATTTGGAAAAGATGTGAAACATTAATCCTATGTCTACTCTGAGGTTATGAAAATGAAATATTATATTAAGTCACTAGCATACAGTACAGCATTTTGATTCTTCTGCTCATTAACATAACTGGCCTTGAACTTCTGCATGTGATAAATATCAGTGTTGGTTTTTAGATAGAAGAAGGACGTTAAATGGTACTTCACAAGGCCAGAGTGTTTGGAGGGCTGGGGGGTGCACCATAGAAATACAGAGGTTCCTTGGTTTTCATTCAATGCTCGAAGTCATGTAAAAATTTCCACTCTCAAGCCACAATACCTTCCTACCAGTCTCAAATTATTCCAGTGCTTCGAAGAAGCACGTATGTATCTATGGCATAACCTTAGCATCAACCGATGGCTTGGGGAAGGAGGAGAAGAAAGACAAGGCAATTTTTCTTTAAAGAGTAAAGCAGTATTACATGCAGAAAACAAGTTAGTGATAATTTTGAATAGATAATTAAAGAGATCACAGATTCAGGGAAAACAGACCTGACAGAGATTGATAAACCTATCCGAGGTTCTGTACCTTAATCAAATATACTAGTTGAGTATGTCCAAAAGCCTTACCTACAAACCAGATGAAAGAACTGGAAAAGACTGTGTTGGAACACAGTCAGGGCTAGGAGATTCAGTATCAAGGTTGTGAAGTTCTCTATTTATCATTACCAGCATGAATGGGGTTTTTTTCTCCTCACTATTTTCTGACTGCCCTGCTGCAGCCCTGCTAAAAAAAAATTACCTGTAGAACAACCCTTTTAGTAAGCGTGGTTGAAGGTTATTCCTGTCCATAGCAATCACACTAGCCCCTTAGTTTCAATACTATTTCTAATGACTATTTTGAGCCTAACATGCAGATGGCAAAAAATAGTATTAGCAAAATAAAAGGCACGTTGTTTGCAACTACAGTCCCTGAAAGACTGCTCAACCCCTTGCATCAGAAGTCCTTTATTCTTTAACATGCATAAAGAGGTTAATAGCCCTCAGTTCATCATTAGGTAGGCTGCTCACTCACTGGGGCCGTGCACCCAAGGCAAACATGAAAAAGCACACTTACCTGTGACCTAAAGCGGTCATTGCCAGCGCCAGATAACAGCCGATAGGGATGCCTGCTTTAACAGCCTTCAGGAGGGGGTGAAGCGTGACCGACTCCGTCATGTCGAGCACACTGTCAGACACAGGGATCGCAGGCCAGCCATGTTGCATGCCACGGTCATTTCTGTGAAGCTTTAACCTCAAAATCAAACCCCATGCCCACTGATTAAAGGAAGTCTCTGGTGTTTCTCCATAACGAACAATGCTGGCTAAGTAGGAGACCTGGAACAAAGCAGCAGTAACAGGAATGAGAGGCAGCACAGCCACACTACAGCACACACGGCACTAGTCTAGGACTTGGGTCAGCTTGGATGAGTTTCCTCTTCTATCACAACACCGTGACACCAGGTCAGAGCAACAGTAGTTATTTTTCAGACACACCATGTAGCACCACCAATTAAGTTTATCTGAAGTCTCTGTTTCTATGGCCTTCATTTCCACCACCCCTCTCCCCACCGCCATCCCTTTTGATAAAGGTGATCAACCTATACTGGCTAAAGTTTTCCAAATTAGGTATTGGTGTCAGATTAAATTTTATTTTTACTACTTAAAAAAACCCTCACAAACAACCTTCAGTAATGCTTAAGACTGCTAGTGAAAGGAAAACAAAAAAATATAGATACAAAAATAACATGTGTAAATAAAGAGCCTAAAACCTGGCAGCCTCTCCTTAGAAAGAGGTCTGTAATGTGGACAGGCAGAGTCTCTGTGTTGTGTACATGTGTCCATTATTATGAAGACCTTGCCTAGATCAGAAGGAATTATAGATCTCTGGGAAAAAATATTGTACACTGACAGATCAGTGTAAATTGCAGAGCTGGGAGTCACCACAGATATTTCACCCGCTCTGAGTGGCTATACAAGAACCTAAGCATTATTTTCTCCCAAATTCCAGTTACCAGCTCATAGACGTCAGGACAGATTCACCAATACAAGTGGCAACCAAGGCTGAAATAGGCTTAAAAAGAGAACTCATCTAGCTGGCACAAGACAACAAACCATGATTAAGTAGTGCAGAGAAGCAAGTCAGAAAAGAGCAGAGACAATAAAGAACATTTAAAATGTGGGAAGACTGGGGAAAAAAAGCACAGGGGAGGAGAGGAGGAGAAAGCACTGAACAAGAAATACTGAGAAGGCAAAAGCACAACACATTGCTAAAAGCTCTGAATAAATAAATAGAAGCATCTTGGACTGAATATCCAAAAAAGGGATTTTTAACCTTGATCTTTCTATCCTTCCATTCCCCTTCTGTAACTTGGAGCCATACCTTCCCTCAGTCACCAGTGTGCTGTAAAAATCAATGTAATAAATGTTTGTAGGGTGTTCAGGTAACACAGCACTGATCATTACTGAAAAGTTCCTAAAATCTTAAGTCTTTAAATAAGGTAAGACTAAGAGCTGGAGACACAGGAAGGATGTCTCTTATGTTTGCCAGCAATAGTGAGTATCCTTTCATTAAGCAAGTACTGGCCAACTCCACATGAGTAAAGGATGCTTTGCAAGAAGTTTGCAACTATCCAACTACAGACTGCATAATAATGCAAACCTACAAGGGGGCCAGATTTAAAATTTCTATTTCTCATGTAAGTGTTCAACGTAAGTCTAACAGGATCTTCAAATAGGCCTGCGGGTGCAAAAATACTGAGAGTTGGTATATTATAATGTTCTAGTAGTATCAAGATAGCATAGCTTTTAAAAAGAAAAAAGAAAATAAAGTCTTGGCCTGCAGTTTTTCCTATCTGTCACTATCAACAAGCTACTCCCTGTAATTTTGAAGGAATACCTGTTTTATGCTTTCAGAAAGCAGCCCAGCATATGGTTTCTGGGAGAGATATTTGTGATATGCTTCCAGGACCATCAATGCAACTTCAGAATGGACAGCTGGATCCAGATGAAGAGCATCCTGCTAAGAACAGAATCATATGACACAACTTTGCCTCATTTAAAAGGTCTCTACAACTGCATCATTCAGTTGTACTACGGAGAAATAAATCTTAATTTGAACAGCCATAAAGAGATTAAGTATTGTAACACCTAGGCAAAATCTTGGCCAGTAAGAAAAATTTCAGTGCAACATTGAAGAACAATGAGCTCACATTGGGCAATACAAAGCTCAACAGCTAGATTATTTCCTGAAAAAAGTGACCATAATCACTTCTCATGTTTATTTGGTGGATTTATAACAATTAAGCCAAAGATCTATAGATGGCATTTTAAATTACATGGTACAGACACTGGAAATCTTGCCTTTAAAACACAAAACCAAAAAAATACTATGTTTTGATACGAAGAAACATGATAAATCCTCTTACCAACTGCCATATTAAAGAACTATTTTCACCATATCAAAGGGTACAGACATGACACTGTTATTGCACAGCAAAGACCTCACAGTTAATTTTTCCCTACCATTCCTCTGTCTTCACGTGTCATCAAGAAATAGGGAGGAAAAGTAAGGCAGTTTTCATGTACAAGTATTAGCACAGCAAAGCTAAGAGTTCAGTATGGTCAAAAGCATAAATTATAATGCTAAAATGGATCACTGAACACAGGCAACAGGATTTTTCCCCCAATCTATTTCTCTTTCTCTCTGAAAAAGCATTCACCCTCGATTGGATCCTGAACTGATGGAGCTCCTGGAGTAGCCTGTTTTATGGAATATTTTCCTATCATTAAATAAAGCTCAGGGCTTTGAAATCTCTAGTTTCAATCATTAGTTTTCTTGCATTGTGAAAAACGTATCTGGATACCAGCCTGCAAACTACAGTCACACCAGTCTCATACACACTTCTTGGAGGATTCCTCTATTTCTGCAGCCACAGATATCTTAACGTAGTGACTCACAAAAATTGTCCTGTCACCTGTTTCCCCTTGTTTAGAGAGGGGATACTCCAGCTCAAATATCTCTTTTAATCTCAGCTGCAGCACTATAAGGAAGCAACACAAGCAAATCCTCAGGCAAAATGATGCAACGTTATTGTGAAGTTAATAAATAGCATGTAATTAACTGTTTTCAAATCCAGTTATAGTCCCTGACCAAGTTCAGGCCTCCTGTTTTTAATACGTACATGCTCACCAAATCCCCAGTTTAGCCCTTCCAAGATAATGCAGGCTAGTTTATTCTCCACTGTTGTTAGACTGTAATTTAATAACCAGTCACGAATCAGCGCTATCTCAGATGAAGAAGGCTTCCACAGGTACAACGGCAGTTCTTTGAACAGATATAAAGAAACCTTTGAGGGCAGAAAAGAAAAAGGCTAATCAGTACTCAGTATGCAACAATAATCAGAACTACGCCCTTCTATCTCAAAGAGTGATATGATCAAAAAAAACAGGGCCAAGTCTTTAAAACAATCCATTCATACCAAACCATATCTTGTAACACAGTCTGGGACAGCCTCTTGTTTTAACTGGGTGCCTGCTTCAAATGATAGACCTTAGCACTTACCATCCCAACTTTCTCGATGGTCTCTCTAACTCGATCCAGCAGTACAGAAATAATCTGCGTATGGATGCTGGCAATTGCTCCCAAGAGTTCTCGACCAACTTTTGAAAATGTTTCTCTTGTGGAAAGACTAACATAAGACACCTGAGAAGATGAGCAGAGAGGTTACAGGTTACGGCTGGCATTCACTGTCACCACCATAAAACATCTTCTGGAAAATACAGAACCAAATTGCTCTTGGTTTATCCCGGACGAAGTTGATAAATGCCAATATTAAAACCAAAACTGACTGCCCTAGAAGATAAGGAAATGATTATGTCACAGTGCCAAAAACAAAGTCTAAAACTAAACATAGGAACAATACCACACACACACTAAAACAAACAAACAAACAAACAAACAAATCACCACCACCAAACCAAAAAAACTACACACTACAACAGAAAAAACACCACACAAGGAATTTCAGAGCTATAAGTTAGACCTGAATGAGAAAAATAAAGCAAAAGAAATACATTTTCATTCATTTGTTTCATTCTGGCTTGGTCCACAGAAAAGCTGTTCTTCCTCCCAGAAGGAGATGCACTTCATCCTGTTGTAATTCAGTACGAGATTATAAGCCTCAGAAGTAGCACTTTCTTAGTTCCATGGCAGAACAAACTACAGAAGCCATGAATGTTTCACACCTTCCACTGTTAGAAAGAAAAACAGGACATTCATCCTTTCCCAGAATGGATCAGGCATGTTACTCGCCTCATATATCTCCAGAACAATTATTTTGATAAAATCCTCATCAACATCAGCCCGCTTGGTTTGTGCCATCTGAGCAAATGTGGTGAGCAGACAAATTTCTTCCGAGCAGTTCATTGATTTGAGATATTTTTCAAAATTTTCAAGGTGTTCTGGGTCTAGGGAAAAAAAAAGTCACATGAGAGAAACATGATAAAAGAAGTGTTAAAGGACACACATCATCAACATTTACACATTTATTCACGGTCCAGTCCCAGAGAAGGAATCGGTGACAAAGCAATTATCATCACTGGAAGCCTGTAAATTAGTATCCTCTCTTCAGAAGTGACTGGTACCAGCTGCTTTAAAATAACATGCAAGAAACACCATAATAAGCAGTGAGCCCATATGATTCAGTAAATATGCTAGTAATTCATAATGAAAGCTAAAACTGCTTCAAGCACAGCTGGAATTCAATTTTTAATATTATTTTAACTATGCGATGTCAATCATCCACAGGAAGAACTGCTTGAATCTTTTTGCTTTTTAAAAATGTTATCACGATTTTGGCTTCCATTACATATTGGAGCAATTAATTCCACAGATTAAGTCCAAATTATATGAAACAATTCTAGTTTTAATCAACACACAGTCAAGAGAAGATTAAAACCAAGCCCACCCAAGCACAGCAGAGAGGTTTTGATCAAACTGAGACTCTGCCAATCCCACATACCATGATCTCAAGCAGCAATTAAAACTGCGGAGATCATTCTATGCCGATTACAAATAAAAATACTTCAAGCGTCTAGCCCTGGGCCTAGATTATGTCCAAGAGTTACAAGGAAAGGTCAGTTTCAGATTCTCAAACTCAATACAAGAAAAAAAAAATTACAGAATGCACTTGTTTGGGAAAAAAACTTGTTTCCCACCTTCTCTGCTGCAAGCCACAGCTCTGCAATCTCCCTTGTTTGGAGTATTTTTCACTCTCTGAAAACAGAGAAGTGAAGTTCCACAGGACAGTAAGGTTAAGAGATGCTTTTACTTGAATTCAAGGCATGATTTCTCTTTAAATCCAATAGTGAGATGTTGCCAAATGCAAATAAACATTTAATTCCTCAGGGTGGGCAACAACAGGAAGGCAAGGGTACAAAGAAACCTGTACAGGACTTTCAAATAATTTTTATTTCTTCCAAATAATTTCAAATAGTGTCTGTGCAGCAAAACAAGCATTGAAAGCTGCATTTCAGCTGTAAAATGGTTTGGAGAGTGGTCTGCTTACTCTGAAGCATAACATGCCAGTAAACACTGTTTACAGTGATCTTATAGCAGTTGAATACACTGAAAAAGCACTCATTGTGGCACTTGACTACTTAATCTACACAGGCATGTGCTCAGCATGCTTGTGATTAAACACTTCCACTTAGGTTACATTCTATTTTAAGGGCTTTCAAGAATTTTGCAACTGTACTTCAACCTGAGAAGGTCAGACTTTGTACAGCCCAAACATCTCATGAACAGTGTGCTACAGGATTGTGCAATTTAAGCAGAGTTTCTTCATATAGTAAGATAAAGTACACTCCTGATAGATAGAATAGACATACATAGGATGTCTCATCCATTCATCTCCCTTTCCTAATGCTACCTTTTATCTATTTTACATTTATAGAAGAAGTTACAGAGCATTGGTGGTGGTTGTTGTTGTTGTGTTTGGGGGGTTACAGTAATGCAGAAGGACAAAAAAAAAAAAAGGACCATCCCATTACTATATATAAAGGCAGAGCAGAATAACCCACAGCATGGGGAAGGGTTAGGACGCGCAAGTAACGGATGACTATGACAGCAATTGTCATATTAGCAGCGCAATGTGTGCGTCTGTGTTTCTTTAGGCATAGACGAGCTAACCAACAGAGAAGGGGTTTGGAGGGGGACAGAAGAGAAAAACGGGATCTGGGAAGTTAAAGACAAAGACAATAGAAGGGGGGAGGAGGAGGGCTGGTATCAGCTGCTGAGCAGATGTGCACTAGACCTTCTCTTCTGCAAGTCACAGCTCTGCAATCTCACAGCTTCCTGCTTCAGCTGCACTTTCCTCCTCACTGTACCTGGGGTCACCTGTGGGCTCCACACACAGACCCCACACCAACCTCAAACCCACACTAAGCCATAGCTTGAGACTGAAGGATGGGGACAAGGAAGAAGGGAAGACAACAGACTCCACCTAAATCCTACTGTCTCACAGTGGAGCAACGACATCTTCACCACACACTTGCTTCTCGAGACAATTCCCTTCCTCCTCTGCACATTTGATGACACTACAATTCAAGTTCAGAAAGACCCTAAAAATTAGTGGCTCCTCAAATCTTGGTAATGGCAGTAAAGAAACTGTAACCAGAAATGCTGTTGTGCAGGTTCTTATTGCCAACTGCAATGGAAGCAAAGATAAAACTGTTAATCCTATATTTATAAGGCTTACAGAGAACACATGTTTGTACTCACACATGTATCCAACATCAAGAAGAAACTACTAGGTCATTACTGTGGAACACACATAGTCAATGACAAGCACAATTCCACTCAAGATTACATGAGGTAACCAGACTTCCCATATTTCCCCAGGGGTTTATTTTTTATCTGGTAGCTCTCATAGTCCAGAGGTCATCCTAGTAAGTGCAGCTCCATCACTGCACTCCATTTTATCGTGTTATTTCTACCTATCCCTTAAAAGTGACTATGCTCCCACCTCTATACGTGCAAGCCTAAAGCTTCCATCAATTACCAAGGCTTGCTACCACCTGTAGATTCACCACTTAACACTTCACAAACTTAGTTTGGGACAGGAAATCAATAAAAAAAGGTTCTTTCCCAAGAGAATGTTAATGCCGTGGTCTTCTAGGGTATAAATTACAGGAAATTAAGTCAGCATTATTTTAGTCTGTGTCAGTCAAAAAAAGCCATTTCAGATGATTAGATGGATTTCACTGAAAGAACTGTTGATATTCCCTGTCTAGACATTTGTGAAAAATAGTATTGTGCTGACATAACCATCGAGAAGAATGAAGAGGATAAAAATATCCTGCATCAGCATACCAGGGACTTTAAAACAGAGAAGTTAGCTAAAAGCAAAACAAACCCTGAACAAAACAAAAATAAAATTTAGTGTTTGTTACTGTCAGAGCTGCAACCCACCATATCATATTACATTGTCTGTGTTTGAGATGCAGTAAAAATTCCTTGCAAAAACATAAATAAAACACAGTCCTGCTGAAACAGTGTAATTGTTACTGATTAGCACTTGCCAGCCAAACCAGATGAGACTTCATAGAGTATACACAGCTACAGTCTTGATATCCCTCTCCCGTTCTGCATAAATTGCCTTAAAGAGTAGCTGAACTTGCACAGAGTCAATATGCTCAGTAACCTCTCAAGATCACCACTTTCTTTTACTTCTCCATCAAAAGACTCGGTTGATGTGGTGGCAGCTAGCTGGGCTACCAGCTAGCTGAAAAGTAAAACTGACTGAGTGTGAGATTTGCTCTCCCTGAAGACAGCAAAGACGCTGTGAAGTAGTGAGTTACTGCTTTGTTTACCTGTCTCCCTGTCAATCAAGTTCAGAAATATTTTCCATGAAGGCAGCAGCAAAGGGAAAATAGCATTCCAGCTGGCTTCTAAATAACTCTGCTGTAGCTGAAGCCACCAAAACCACTGTGGAGATCAACACAGGACAGAAGTCAAGAGGAAATAGAAAGAAAAGGTGGCATATAGGACAAGAAAAGCATCAAAAAAAGGCTTAAGATAAGGGAAACACCTGTGGTTGTGGAAGATAAGGAGATCATCCACAATGGAAGTTACTGAAGCCAAAACTAGCAAGTTCAAGGAGAAAAAAAAGGAGGACCAGAGTATTTATAGAGCTATCAACAGCTCACAAAAAAAACCACAAACAAAAAAAAAACCCACCACCAACTCTACGTGATACGAAATTTTGTATTTTAGGAGTTAAATCTCACTCTCCAAATATTATCAAAAGTCAAGATGGGACGTGATATGAGAATACACAAGATGTACCTACTGCATGGCACTCTTGGAGCTCTCTGAAGCAGCCAGTAAGCAGTCACTGTCAGAGAGAAAACTAAAATAACAGTAGATCCAACAATTCCTGTTAAAATGACAGTTTGGGTAAACAAGTACTGGAAGACCACGAACTGCCCAAGTCTCTTCTAAGGCCTCTGGACCAGTCATGCTGCTGAGGGCGTATTTAACAATGGAACATGCAAAGAATTAAAACCGTAGCTGATGCAGCAGTAGCCAAATTGATTAGAATTGGTTCCGAGTGTAGGAATTCTACCTTTGAGTCTTTGTTTGCAGTCAGCAGGTTGCAAAGTAGAGCAGAGTTTTTCCAGGTGCTCACTCTCTGCACAGTGCATGACAAAAAAGAGCCTCCAAAGCATGTTGCTGGATAAGGTTCCGTAAGGCATCTCAGACATGAATAACCAGACTCCCAACCTGTTGGATTTGAAAAGGCAGACAGAAGCAGTTTCACCCTGATAAATCCTAACATTTGAAAAGCAGACATACACCCACATCTCTGCCCTGTAACAGAATTAGGAATGTGGGGATGTGTCTTAGCATCTCAAATTCTGAATCAACCTCATCCTGAATTGACAAGTCCTCAGAGCTTCTGTCATATGCTAGAATTCAAGGCGTAATTCCTCCCCATCTTAATACTATCAATATGCTGAAAAATCCTGCATATTGCAGTCTTGTTTAAACCATTATGTATTTGAAGCTACTGCAAATCCCAGTTTCAAATACCTAACTCCTCCAAGATGAAGCCAGTATCAATCACATGGGACAGCCTACCTTTTTGCCTTCAGAACATGTAGAACAGCTCTAAAAAACAGCTCATCAAACTCCAGTTGCAATTTTTCCACAGAGTAGGGATGCCCTACTGATCCATATTGTGTATTGCTGCTAACGTATTGGGACCAGTGGTCACTCACATGACAAAGTGTCATCCTACACAGCAGAACAAACAAGTCGAAAAAGGATCATTAAGTATGTCATCACCATATGAAAACACAGACAAGTGCAACTAGATCAGAGTGTTCCAAGTTGCAAGAGACAGGTTCAATCCTTTGTCCTCTGGTTTCCAGAGATTTCCATATAAATAGCATTTCCCTCCCCTCTTCAGACAGGGTGAGTCTAAATTCCTGTGTTATCCTTCCTTGGTTTTGCAAACAAACAATGCATAATATTCTCTTATACCAAATGAGTTTGTGTACAAACTTTGGAGCCTTAAGATAATACTACATGATGAAACAGCAGTATATGCCAAAGCTCAGCCAGGAATAATTATATTGAGAAAGTTACTGCTCTACTAACACAAAGAAAAACATGTATTTTGTTTCTGATTTAACTGTATCCCCCCCTTGAAAACACACTCATAGAAGCCATATAAAGTGATTGCTAGAGATTTAAAAATAAAGAGCAACTTTTAGGTTTCAATTACATTTGCTTACTGCAATAATATGATGATTTTCAGGGAGCAAATTAAAAGCCCTAACACAATTTTGGGTAACAGAAAGAAAGCAGTAACACCAGTTATAAATAGGGGTGATTCGAGAAACTGCTTGTTGGATTTCAGTGACTTTCCAAGACAAGCCTAAGCACATCCCTGATGGAAGTCAGCCTGGTGTTCCACAGCTCACCCCGCTCCTTTGTACCCACAGCATTTAGATTCTGCAATTCCCCACTTCATAGGCAGCTTTAGAATCAAGGACCCTGGGATTTCAGATTCCCAGACTGGCTAACCCTAAACTGACCAAGTCTCAGAGCAGAATCTACTCAAGAGCTGTTTGGGGGTTTTGTTTGTTTTTGTTAGTGGGGTTTGGGTTTTTTTGCTTGTTTGGTAGTTGTTTTGTTTTGTTGTTTTGGGTGGGTTTTGTTTTTGTTTTCTGGGTTTTGGTTTTTTTGGGTGGGTGGTTTTTTTTTTTTTTCAACTCTGAACTTAAACCAGACTGTATAAAAAAAACGTAATCAAATCACAGAGAAAATAGTCTCTTACTTGATCAGCTGACCAATTCGCTTCACAAACTGTCGGTAGCGTGCTCTGTTAAATGTTTCTAACCCCGCAGACAGAAGTTCCACTAAGGAGTTTGCAAAAGCAAAAATCTTCATCATCTCCTGGGGAGTTGTTTTTTCAGGAAAATAAGCACCTATGACCGAGACAGAAAAATAAGTCTCAAAAAAAGTGTGAATCTGAATTTTAAGTAACTTAACAAGCACTCAAAGCAACAATTCACCATATAGATGTCAAATGGCTCATTGCTTGCTGGCTATATAGTGAACTGAAATTTATGTTTTGTTTATGAAATCAACAATAAATACCTGTTAAGTATGAAAGTACAAAAAAACTATGCAGATTACAAGACCTCTAGCAAGCAATTATCTTCATGTACTTATCCAGAGATTTAGCAAAATAAAGAATGAATAAATAATTACAGGGGGAACAAAAAAAAGAAATCACTATAGCATTACCATAAGAGGCAAAAGGGAAAAGTAAGTTCTGAGTATAACCTCAGAGCAGATCAAAACTAAGGGAAAGGACTCCAACATTTTCCATGCTAGTACTGCTGGTAAGTTTTTAAATTATTCCATACACATGGCATACACTTCCATCTCATCTATTTAGTCTGTGAGTTGTTGCAGAGGTTCATTATTACTTCACTCAGAGACTCTCATAATGCAGTAGCATTCTTGGCAGTTTTAGTCATTAATACAATTAACGTAAGCAAAATGAAGAATAACTCTTTAGCAGCTGATTTACCTCCAGACTTAAACCCAAGGAACTGCTGAAAGAGTTCATGAAATGGAAACTGTGACAACAGGGCAATCAAGTCATCTTCCAAAAGCAGAATCCAGCTTGTCTCAGGATCCTCATCCTATAGACAAATACAGTCGCTTTTAGTAGCTTTACAATAAAAGGCGTGGTAAAAGGGCTTCACTATTGTACTGATAACAGTTTGCTTGTAAGAGGAAAACAAAATACAAATCAACTCTCCTTCCCATACACACACAAGCTTCTAAATTCTTTTTCTGTGGGTATTTCTACATAAAAGCCCTCATCAGCAAGGAAATAGAACTAGAGGCAACGCTATGTCAGTCCAAACCAGCTTCCAAAGGAAAGCACCTATTCAACCATATGTCTGCTTCCATGCTCCTTTTGCATGCCATAGCTCACATCTTTAAATTCTATCTATTAATACACATTCCCAGAAGCTCCACTATCTACAGCTGTATCCAGACATACAAGCAGAGTAAAATAGATCTAAATTTTGACTGATGCTTTTTAACTGAAGTAGTCAGCTTTTCTTCCTCCATTTCACAAAAATCAATACAACAACCTTGAGCAAAAGCATAAAAAGAAAAAAAAAAAAAAGTTATTTGCTGTACCTCTTCTCCTCCTTCATCTACCAGGGTCCAGTTTCCAGATTCTTTCCCAGATGAAGAGGAACTTTTCCTTTCATTTGGCTTCATATGGCACATGAAGTCCACCCGATTTCTGATTTAAAGTAAAAAGTCAAGTTTAGAAAAAAAGAGAAAATTAAAAATTCTGAATTAAGTCATCTTTTAGTTAAGAGAAGATATTAAAAAAAACCAGATATAAGAACAAGAAATTAACAAATACATGTCAGAAAGCTGCCTGGCAGAAAAGGACCTGGAGGTGCTGGCTGACAGCCGGCTGAACATGAGCCGGCAGTGTGCACAGGTGGCCAAGAAGGCCAACAGCATCCTGGCCTGTATCAGCAATAGTGTGGCCAGCAGGAGTAGGGCAGTGATTGTGCCCCTGTACTCGGCACTGGTGAGGCTGCACCTCAAATACTGTGTTCACTACCAGAAGGACATTGAGGTGTTGGAACGTGTCCAAAGAAAGGCGACACAGCTGGTGAAAGGTCTAGAGGAGACCCTCCTATGAGGAGCTGCTGAGGGAACTGGGGTTGTTTAGCCTGGAGAAAAGGAGGCTGAAGACCTTACCACTCTCTACAACTACCTGAAAGGGGGTCGTAGTGAGGTGGGTGTCAAGTCTCTTCTCCCAAGTAACAAGCTTGTCCTACTGGACAAGAGGAAACAGCCTCAAGTTGCACCAGGGGAGGTTTAGATTGGATGTTAGGAACAATTTCTTCACTGAAAGGATTGTGAAGGCATTGGAACCGTCTGTGCAGGGAAGTGGTTGAGTCACCACCCCTGGCGGTACTTGAAAGAACTGTAGCCATGACACTTAGAGACATGGTTTAATTGTGGACTTGGCAGTGTTAGATTAATTGTTGGACTTGATGATCTTATAGACTCATTTAGGTTGGAAAAGATCTTTGATGACCTGACAACCTCCAAGACTTGCACAAACCTGCTGTGTTCAGTAAATGATGTTCCAAGCAATATTCTGAACAATGTAAATGGCTATCAGCCCTATATAGCAAGCACATTTAAATAGGCAAGAAGTAACACTATTCTTGCCCATGTGTACAAAAACTCCTTTTAAAAAGGAAAAAAAAGATCAAAAGAAGGAGATATTATTTCAGAAGAGGTACTCTACAACACGCATTTAAGGCTATCACCTGGTGAGCCAACAACAAACAGGATGAGTGCAGGCCAGCTCCACTATACAACGTTCATATCTGCATTAGCTGGACACCACATCAACATTAGTAAGACTGGTCTTACATACGCTGAGCTACCACAACTAAAAACCTTCCAGGAAAGAGTTGCCTTGAATCAAGTCAGCTCCAGTTCCATATATTAGACCACCTTAAGTCTGGGATACCAGTTTTCAGACTTTATACCATATAAATGCTTAGTTGTTCAGGCATACCAGCAAGTTAAACGAACGTGCAGAAAGGTTATATATATAAAAAGTTAAAATCGTAACATCCAACTTCCTTCTAACTTGAAACGTACCAGCAGAACTCTGCACACAGTGCCACAAAACTCCAGCATAGTATCACGCTCCTGATCTCCTTGAACTTATAATCTGATAATATGAACTTATTAGAAATGAAATACATGTTTTAAGATACTGATTTCACAAAACAAATTCAGAATTCAAACTTGTTCCTGACATGCAGCAGCTGTAACAGACATCTTGTATCAACAGTTGAGAGCATCGCTCCAGATACCTTAACTTAGCCCTTGCTCAAGACACATCAAAACAAAGCATCAAAACACACTGGCAACACACATGCCCTCAGGATACACTTGTTTCCACAGAAAATGTGAAAACAAAGCCCTTTAAAACAATAGCCTCCAATAAACAGGGTCAGGCTATAAGGATCACAATCACAACCCTAAACACCAGCAGTTTTGATTCTTTGACATTAAAATTTGGGCAGGGCAAGATTTCTTAACTGAAGCACATACAAGTCTTCACTAATGACTGATTTCATTAACTAGCTTCTCCAAACACCATGTATTCTTTCTAGATTGGAAAAAAAAAAAAAAGAGGATGAAAAATAAATTAAGATGCCCAACCAGTGTACACATCAACTTAGCAAAACCTTCACACAGGGGCCTCTGTCGCAGAGATAGTATAACGAACAGGCCATCGTGCAAGGCGAGAACTCTATTTCAGAAGTCACAGTAACAAAACATGCGGGGTATGTCAGTCTTCACAAGCTATTTGACAGCTGAAAGCAAGCTGCATCGTACTGCGCACAGCTGGAGAACGTACTGCCAAAGCTGTATTTTAAGATGAGTGGGTAAAAAGAGTTTGAATTAAACTGTGAATCTCTTATTTGTGCCTGGTTTTATGACTCTGCCTGCAATTAACTTTCAGAGTTTTACAAGTAGTGTGTCACGTTTTCTACTCTTAAACAGTAAGAATGTATTTATAAAATCATATTCATACTTACTTGACAGGAGACATAAGCAGGGCAAGAGACTGCATGAAATGAAAAACACCTGATGGGTTATCCAAGACTTTGATCTGAAATGAAAAGCAAAAGTCTAAGTAAATCTAAATAACTAAAACAAAGGGCAAATCAGTTTTATCAGAGAAATTCAAATTCTGAGTTTCACATTTTTCACTAGCTTTTTGTTCAGACTAAAAAGTATCCATGAAAGACAGTGCCCACACCCTGGAGAAAGTATTGCTGGGGCAAAATATTGGGAGTTGTCCAAAAGAAGTACTCCTACAAATTAAAGGAGTTTAAAAAAAAAAAAAAAATATCAAAGCTCTACAAAAAAGACAACTTTCCTCTTTGTTTCATGTGTACTTCTGGGCACCAGGGGAAATTGGAATGTTGAGCACAGGAGGATTTAGGATCCTACCATGTTAGGTTAACAGTTGGACTCAATGATCTTAAGGGTCTTTTCCAACCTAAATGATTCTATGATTGTATTCTATCCTTTTATTTCATTGCTTGCCTTTGTTGTGTTAGTGTAACTGCAATATTTTTCCTATGGCTAGATTTCCCACATCTTCCCCTCTTGGAGGAACAAAAATGTTCTTTGCAAGAACACCCTGGTGCCTTTGGATATCTGCACTCCCTCTGATCTATACAGAATCACAGAATCATTAAGGTTGGAAAAGACCTTTAAAATCATGAAGCCCAATCGTCAGCCCAACACCACCATGCCCACTAAACCATGTCCTGAAGTGCCACATCCCACAGGTTTTTTGAACACTTCCAGTGATGGTGACTCCACCACCTCCCTGGGCAGCCTGTGCCAATGCTTGACCACCCTCTCCATAAAGAAATTTTTTCTAATATCCAGTCTAAACCTCCCCTGGCGCAACTTGAGGCCATTTCCTCTCGTCCTATCACCAGTTACTGGGGGGAAGAGACCAACACCCACCTTGCCACAACCCCCTTTCAGGTAGTTGTAGAGAGCGATAAGGTCTCCCCTCAGCCTCCTCTTCCCCAGACCGAACAACCCCAGTTCCCTCAGCTGCTCCCCATCAGAGTTGTGCACCAGACCCGTCACCCGCTTCATTGCCCTTCTCTGGACACGCTCCAGCACCAACATCCTTCTGGTAGTGGAAAAATGAACCCTTGCCCTTGAAATTACCTAACTAATAAACTTCTCAGAGAAACCAGTCGCATTTCAATGTGCAGGATAGGAAAATCTGTTCTTCCTCATCCCTTATATACCACAGAGCTGCCTCCAATCTTGCCTTGTCTCATATACAGTTGCTGCTTCAAGCCTAAATATTCTTTAAATTTCTTGGAGATCGCTCCCAAAACCTGCTGCTGCATGAGGCCTTCTGAGGCACACCACAAGTCCTTGACTCCCTTTCATGGAGTCTCTCTAGCCAAGAATGAAAAGTGTGTTTCCCTGTTCACCTGCTCATGGTTGGGCTAACATGGGTAAATACATCCCTTGACAAATCCCTCACTGTTACCATGATTCCACACACATGGAAACGTGAGGTCGGTCATGAGGGATTGACTAGGCAAAAGACATTCTCTGCTCCTATTCACTCCACTCCCACTCCAACTTTCTGACAATAAAGTATTAAACATTCACACCTGAATGAATGGACAAGCCCATTCGCTGATGCCAGCTGGACACCGAAGGATGTGGTTGAAGAGAAAGAGATGGTCACCTGGACAGCCAATTCTTTGCAACACAGACACCTAAAGGGAAGTGTATTAAAAACTTGTAAACAATTTCAAGGCTCACTCCTTTATAATCTTGCTAACTAGAGTAACTATTTTTTCATTTCTTTTTCCATGCTTTCTAACAAACGTCAATTTTCAGAGCAAGTTACAGGAGAACAATATTTAAAAGTCTGCTTGCTTGGCTTATAAGCCACGAACTGTTTTCTTTGGTGTAGAAAAATTGCTTTGCAATTGCATTAAAAACTAATTTATTTATAAATCAGCAAGAATAGAAGTTTCTCAAAAATGACAAGTCTGATTAGTTTTCATTTCAAAATAAGTTAAAAGCATAATGAATATTAAGTCCACTTTGAGAAGTGTCAGCTGCTCAGCTGCCAGTCCTCATTAATGCTGCTGACCTCCATCAACTTCATCAGACAAGGGAATTCATTCTAAAGATTCACTAACAGATTCTGATCCTCAAGTACAGCAAACCCCCAAAAAAATCACTGCACGTGGGACAGTGAGAGACACAGTAACACTTTCAGAAATGATTCCCGAATTCATCCCATGTGTTGGATCAAACAACTATATCCATGCTTACTCCCTCACCAGTCTCTGCAGCCACGTAAGAAGGTCACTCTGAAACTGAGGGTCTTCGATAACTCTGCGAGTGAAACTGAAAAGGACGCTGATACATTCCTTCAAGTGGCTCAAGTCTGAAGAAAGATTTTCTGACTGTTTTGAAACTGTAAATTGAAAACAGAATTAAGGAGCTTTGACGAGCAGCTCTCAGAGCAGTAGCATAAGTAGTGGTTTTGGGGCTATATAGAAAACTTGCTCTCTATCTATAGATACCAAGATATTTCAACACAGCTGCTTGCTATATCTGACAGAAAAGAACTTTAGAGTACTTGATTTAAACTCATAATTAAGCACTGAACATTAATTACAAGACACTATACTATGGTTACTCTCATAAAAAGCCTTTCCTCAACATAAACTTGATAAGAACCACCATTTACTATGCATATAAACTATCCAGGAGGTGGGAGGCAAAGGGAGGAGAACTAGAAAGGATAAATAGCTAGGGTGGGAGGGGGAGGAATGCTTTAGCTAAAAGGTTGTATTGATTCTTTATTCCCCAATAAAGAATACACCTAGGATAAAAACCAAAAAGTTTTCTAAGTATTAGAGCTGCGAGATTTCAAATAGCCTTCCAAGAGGAAGCAGGAAAAATATCCAGCTGGTTTTAGAATTGTGCATAACCAATTTGGAAAACAGACTATATTAAACATTGCCTTTGACAACAAAAGATTGGGGTCCAGGTGTCCCATCCCACCTGGTGTTCCTCTACAGTAACCAGTGGCAGTATGTAGCTTAGACAGAAGGCAGCACTCCTGCCTGCATTCAGCTTCCATTCTCCAGGTGAATAAGTTAAGAGAACTGGAGTTTTTCCTGTGAGAAAAAAGTATCACTGATCCCTAGATAAGATCTACAGATTTTAGGATCAGAGCAGAAACACTCCAGAATACAGATTCCACCCCAAGACTCCAAAACTGCAGGTGAACAAGGTGCTGGGCACTCTAAACAGCATGGGGAGTGGTCTAAACCAGCAACACACCTTGTTCTTGCTGCTGAAGAGCCACTGATCTCAGCAGGGACGAGCTGCTGAGCAACCTGTAGACATATGATTCCACTTGCAACCGGGACAACACCGAGGTGTACGAGTGCAGCGCCAGCGTCTGATGCACGTGCTCTGCTTTGGCTTCAAACAGCTTTTTCAGTTCCCCCAACACACTTTCATTCAGTTCCACTGTCTGGTAGCGATGATGACCTGTCACTTTGCACTGATCTGCACAGACACCCTGAAAAGAAAGCAATTATTTTATTTAAGTGGCTTTGTCATTTGTTGGGTTAAGTGTGCTTACAGAAATTAGTCTTGACATAACCCTCCTCTCAACAGATTTCAAACTTTTCATAAAAGGTGCCGCTTCACAGGTGGAAAAGACAAACATGACAAACCTGTCAGCCTCAGCTCTGTGCCTGGGAGGATCATGGAGCAGATCCTCCTAGAAGCTATGCTGAGGCACATGGAGGGCAGGGAGGTGATTTGAGACAGCCAGCATGGCTTCACCAAGGGCAAGTCCTGCCTGACCAACCTAATGGCCTTCTGTGATGGAGTGGCCACATCAGTGGACAAGGGAAGAGCCAGATGTCATCTATCTGGACTTCTGCAAAGCCTCTGACATGGTCCCCAACAACAGCCTTCTCTCTAAATTGGCAAGAGATAGATTTGATGGGTGGCCTGTTGGGT